TATCTCTCACTCTCATGATCTATGTACAGAGATGGCCGAACAATTCTCACCAAGAACATCGATTCTATCTCAAAAGAGCTTTGATGTATTTTTTCTAGTTTTGATTAAGTCAGAATCTCACAAAGAACACATTTCGATTGAGTCAGAATACCGCGAAGAACCCATTTCGGAGGAACATCTAAGTTATTTTGTACAAAAATATCTATTTTCTAACTATTTATGTTTATATATATTTACCAAACTGTGCTCGCTTCGAGTATATGTATGAAATATCTTAGCAATGTTTTCCAGATCTAGTTTTTTTATTTTTAAAGGAATATTGTCCAGAATATGACCATAGATGTAGATGAAATCCGAGATCTGGAACATGACGGTTGGAAATCTCCTCTTTAGTTATCATACAGATCTGGTAATTTTTGAATATATATATTTTTTTTATTTATACGTGTATTAGCTATGTATTAGTTACTGAGTTTTTTTAATTTTTTGTTTATTCTGATCAAAATTCTCAATTAAATTAAATGGCTAACAATACACTCGTAACTAAAAGTCAGATTTTAATTAGTAAATATTAGGTTCAATACTTAACCTATACAAAGTTTAATACTTTAGTATTGGTTCAGTGAACATAAATACTCTTAATTAGTCAAATTTTAAGTAGTGATTGTAAGCCTCATCATCTATTATAATGGATTCATTATTCAAACATTAAAAAAATAATACTTATTCTATGCCTTTTTTTTTTTTTGAATTTACATTTTTATTTTATATTTGAAGGCTTCAAAAGATGTATTAGTGAAGTTGATGCACTTTTCCATTTTAACAGTAAAACCCCACCCTACAAAAGACCCATATCACAAACTAAATATATTTTAATACTTAATCATAATTGAAATATAAAAAGTTCTTAGAATGTGGACATTGAAAAAGCCTTCAAATCAACTACAGTGTCCATGCTTATTGAAAAGTGAAAACTCTGAAGGTCTTAGAATCTGAAGAGATGCTATATTGTTGTCTGGGCATTTTCTCTTTCCAAGAATATGTTGATCGTCATTTACTCACAATTTGATTCTTCTGCAAGAAGTATGTCAAAAGTAGTTGTAGATTTGAAGCTCTTGAATAAGGTGTGCTTAGACCGATCTATATGCATATATGAACACACCTGTGAATATTTCTCTCATTTTTATTTTATATTTGAAGGCTTCAAAAGATGTATTAGTGAAGCAGTGAAGGATGCACTTTTCTATTTTAACAGCAAAACCCCACCCTACAAAAGACCCATATCACAAACTAAATATATTCTAATACTTTGATTGTAATTGAAATATAAAAAGTTCTTAGATGTGATCATTGAAAAAACCTTCAAATCAACCATAGTGTCCATGCTCATTGAAAAGTGAAAACTCTGAAGGTCTTAGTATCTGAAGAGATGTTATATTGTTATCTGGGGATTTTCTCTTTCCAAGAATATGCTGATGGTCATTTACTCACAATTTGATTCTCCTGCAAGAAGTATGTCAAAAGTAGTTGTAGATTTGAAGCTCTTGAATAAGGTGTGCTTAGAACTCTACCTTTATTTGCATCTATATGCATATGTGAACACACCTGTGAATATTACTCTCATTTTGCTGTACTTCGAATAAAAGGTTTTGAAACATGTATATATTTGCACACTATGAAAAATTAGAACAACAATATTATAAATGAATATATTTTCTTGAATAAAAAAAAAAGAACAATGTTCACAATTACCTATTGGATCATGGAATACGCATTCTTTACATTTGATTGTCTCGCTGTCTCTCCTTTCTGGTATTTCATATGTGCGGACTCTTATAGCACTGCTGGTTTTTATAGGATATACTTCACTGCCCAGAATGTATAGAGGGACAATGATGATGAAGCTTTGGAGCTATAGTGTAAATAATAAATATCAGGCACAGTGTTTGTACTACAAATGAACTGCTAGGTTTGTTTACAATTAGAAGAGGTATTTATAGAATATGTAATTAATGCAAATCTTGTGGATACCAAAGAGTCCCAAAGGGACATGCTGTTTAATAACAACATTTCGTCTTCCAAGGATTACATGGAGGTTGAAGAGACTCCTTTTAAATTCAGTCATTTACAATAAATCTATTTCATAATTAACATATGCATCCCAAAAGTCAGGCTCCAAACGACGCTGTATTTTGTTGGCGGGAATTGGAGCCAAAATCTTGTGGCCAAAAGATTCTGCTTTATTATATATAAAGATAAAGATGTATTCAGTCCTAAACTTTCTAAGAACCTTTTGTTTTTTCAAGGAAGAAAAACAGCAGCAACTCAATTAAAAGCATAGCTAGATGTGACAAATAATAAGTAGTTGCACCTATAGTTCTAAGTAGTTGCACCTATAGTTCTAAGTAGTTGCACATATAGTTATAAGTAGTTGCACCTAGGTGCATGAATGTTTGCGGGTGGTTTTTAGGGGTATTACTACCCGCTGAACTCAGATCAATGAATGTTAACAATGCAAAATTACATGCACCTATAGTTATAAGTAGTTGCACCTATAGTTATAAATAGTTGTACCTATAGTTATAAGTAGGCCTGTGCATCGGACGGGTTCGGACGGTTCGGGTTGGGTGAAGGCTAATCCGTTCGAACTTCGGATACCCTAAACTAGAACCTAACTGTTTTTTTTTGACCACCTAAATCCGTCGGATATTCTTCCGAATTTCCGTTCGGATATCCGATTCAACCGTCAGATAGTTCGGATATTCTTGATAACAGTGTAATTGCAAAAATAATAAATTTTTTCAACAAAAAGAACTAATTTTTAAAACTTAACCAATTAAGTAGTCTAAACTACAGAACTACTTAAGTAGTAAGAGTGTTAGACACTTCACAAGTTCACAAAAGCACAGTTACAACTTACAATTTACAAATTAAAATTTACATTCATAACTATAAGCATATACTGATTACAGAGTTACTGACTAAGCAATTAAAATTTACATTCATAACTAAACTTGAAAGTCCAAATGTCCAATGTCCAAAGTCCAAGACTCCATCACTCCAAGCCACCAAGCCTCAGCAGTCAGCAACTCAGCAATCAGCATACATAAAAAAGAATACCAGTAGGCAGTAGCCCCTAATAATATGATAATAACCTAATAATATGATAGTAACCTATTTGGCTATTCCTCTTCCTGATAAGTAAAAATACAAAACTTTTATAAGCTTTAAAATATATAAATAATTGAATATGAGATGAATACATTATACATTATAGATAATTTAAAAATTGTATATAGGGTGCTCAGATTGCTATTTTTCCAGATCAACCAAGGATTGGAGGAAATTGCTCAATATGAGTATGGCACAAAACACCACACTACATAGGCAACATGCCAAACCCAATTCTATATATTCAGATAACATGGTGGAAGCATCATCATTGCACATTTGCACAAGGGGCCAAAGACAATTAAGTAATTAACAATAAGTCAATAACAGAGATATGGATACTTGAGAGAAGTGAAGCCATATACAATTATACATTACCACTTTACCAGACACCATTCATCATTCAGGTGCCAATTGCCAAATGCTCAATGGCAGCAACATTTAAAATGTCACCAAGCCATTTAACACTTTCCAATTCCATTGCCCAGCCAAGGAATGAGGGCCTGAGGGACATTGATATTTGATACACATACACTATAACACTGATGCAGTCATACAGAGATCATATAATAGTCATTGATCAAATATCAAAATAAATACAGATTTGCTTTATGGAATAAAAGTTATAAGTATATAACCAATAACCATACAGGTATTGTAGGCAATAATCCAACTCCAGTTAGGCCTGTGCTGCACAACTCTGCAAAAAGAAAAATAAAACACAAGTATAATTAAAAGAAATATTAATTTATAATAAATATTTATAGATTCTAAGTTAAAATGTAAATTTAAGAGATTTACCTTTCTCAATCCTTTCAACATCTTCAATATTTTCTTCAACAGAGATTGGTTGATTGGCTAACCTCAACCAATCCTGTGCACACACAAGTGCCTCTACAATCTTAGGAGTTAGGGAACTCCTAAAGGCATCTAGTACTCTCCCACTGGTACTGAATGCTGATTCAGAGCAACAGTAGAGATTGGAACAACAAATACATCCCTTGCCATTTTAGATAACACAGGGAACCTATCAGAATTCAGCTTCCACCATCTTAAGAGGTCAAAAGAATCATCATCATCCACAATGACCTCAGACAAATACACCTCCAACTCAGTTTTTTTCATTGACAAATCACCAACACCCAATTTTTGTTTCTTAATCTGGGATTTCAATAATGCTTGAGGTTTCCCAACAGAAACAGAATCAGAAATTATAATTGAAGGGGCTGACTTGGCAGAATTTTCAGGAACAGACTGGGCAGGAAAACAGGACACATAATCTTGAAAGAACTCCTTAAGGCCAACAACAACCTTATCAAACATTGTTTTACCTTTGTCCTCACCATATAACTGGGTAAACTGAATGGGCATATATTCTATTTTGTCCCTAAGGTCTAAGATATTTGCATAGAATATGAGAAAGTTCATTTTTTCAGGCTCACCCCAATACTTATCAAACTTTGCCCTCATATTTGTACCCATCAGTTTAACACTGTCATCAGCTTCCACCATATTACTTAACAAGCAAGACAGATCAGAAATCTCAGAGAAAAAAGTATTAGAAGTCACATACAGTGAACCAGAAATTCTAACAGTCATTTCATAAAAAGATTTTAGAATCTGTACCAAACCAGAAATGGTTTCCCAATCCATGAAGTTAGGTATATTATTCTCACCCAAATCAGATTTAAATCCACTGTCTGAGCTTGCATACTCTTCAAACACTTTCTCATACAACAAAGCAGCACTCAGCATCATATAGGTGGAGTTCCACCTTGTAGGAACATCAAGACACAAAGACTTCTTGGCTTCCACCCCCATTACATCAGCTAGCTTCCTAAACCTTTGAAGCCTAGCAGGTGAGCTCTCACATACCTAACAGCATCCCTCACTTTTTTAACAGCACTATCAGATTCTTTCAACCCATCCTGTACCACCAAGTTAAGGATGTGAGCAATGCACCTCATGTGCAAGTACTTACTCCTAACAGCAGTACAACCCCATGACACAAACTTTTTCTTTAAGAATCCTAGGGCAGTATCATTGCTAGAAGCATTATCAACTGTGACACTGAAAACTGATTTTAGACCCCAGTCAATAAGACAACTTTCTAAAGCCTTTGCAATACTTTCACCCTTGTGGGAATAGATAGGAACAAATGAAATGATTTTCTTTTGGAGCTTCCACTCACTGTCAATGAAATGTGCAGTTATGCACATGTAGTTTATTCTCTGGACTGAGGTCCATGTATCAGTTGTGATACTAACCCTCTGACTACTAGTCCTAAAGAACTTCTTCAAGTTGAGTCTCTCATCAGAAAAAATCTTAAAAATGTCCCTACTGATAGTCCATCTTGAAGGGATTTTAAACCTAGGACAGCAAACAAACACAAACTTTCTAAACCCCTGTCCCTCAACTATCCTAAAAGGCAATTCATCCAGAATAATCATCTCAGCTAAGGCCCTCCTTATCAAGTCTTGGTCAAATACCCAAGTACCTAACACACCTTCTGATCCTTCACTACTTTCAGTTCCAGCAGAAGAAGGTTCATGTTGGAAAGTAAGCAATGACTGCCTTGTATCCTTAGACTGAGGATTCTTAAGGCAGTTTACCACATGAATCCTGAGAGAAGAAGTGCCATGCATCTTGGACTCACAACAATATATCTTAGCACAGTATAAACATTTTCCCTTGACAACAATGCCTTCAGAGTCTTTGATTTTTTCAAAGTGATCCCATACAAGAGATCTGGTCTCAACCACTTTCCTTTTCTTGGGAACAGGTGGAGGCAAAGGCTGCTGAGACTGAGATGTATTTGTCTCTACGGTTGTGGCTTCCACCTCAGGTTGACTTCCAGATAAACCACTAATACTTTCCATCTAAAAAAGGAAAGTATCCGTGAATGGGAAATCACTAAGGGAAAATCATCAACAACTATGGACAGAGGTATCAAGCATGCACATTACTACATATATTCATATAATTACTTTCAGTTAATTTCACATGTCATCATGTATGCAGAATTGCACATAAACAATTTAAGGGTCACATATCCATAAACTTAATACAATTTACAATTTACAAAGAAATTCATATTCAGGCATTCAAGCTAAGTGGATGTATGCCACTTCATAATGCTCATCATGTATATGGATTTCACACAAAGGGGCTAGGGCTTCCACCAGATTAGGGACAATTACCCCTTTAAGCCTTTAACTCAGTTAGTCAATTACACACTTACACAGAAACACAGATTAAGCTTCCACCAACAGATTACAATTTAGTGACAAGTGAGTAAGTAATCTGGAACTTCTCAACAGATCACAACATCACAGTCCATACAAATCACAAAATCACAATCAGAAAAACCCTAATCAAACTATCAAACTAACAATCATAAATTAGAGACAAGTGAGTAAGTAATCTGGAACTTCTCAACAGATCACAACATCACAGTCCATACAAATCACAAAATCACAATCAGAAAAACCCTAATCAAACTATCAAACTAACAATCATAAATTAGAGACAAGTGATTAAGTAATTTGGAACTTCTCAACAGATCACAACATCACAGTCCATACAAATCACAAAATCACAATCAGAAAAACCCTAATCAAACTATCAAACTAACAATCATAAATTAGAGACAAGTGAGTAAGTAATCTGGAACTTCTCAACAGATCACAACATCACAGTCCATACAAATCACAAAATCACAATCAGAAAAACCCTAATCAAACTATCAAACTAACAATCTAAAAAACTAGGGTTTAGAGAATAGAGATTACTTCGTTTCTCTAAATTAAACCCCCGAGAACAAAGGGCTTCGATTCCTAGCTAGCGAACTGCAACCCACCGGAGTATCGCTCCCACCGGAGACTCGCTTGGGGCTTGAGGGCTACCGGAAACGAATGGGGCTTGAGAGCTTCTACCGGAGAATAATAGCTTCCACACTACAAACACTCACACTCTCAGAGTCTCAGAGAAACTGAGACTGAGAGAAGCTAAGATTCTGAGAACTGAGAGTTCTCTGGAAGAAGGGAACGAGAGACTTTGAGAGAACTAGGGTAGAGAGAAGAGAGAAGTCAGAGAGTTCTCTGGAAGAAGGGAAGAGGCGAAGACTGAAGAGCTGCGCAAATGAGACTAGGGTTTGCAAGTTCTCGGCTACTTCTTCTATATATACTTAGGCTACACGACGTCGCATTACATACCTTATACGTAGGCTTAGTCTTATTCGGGTAATCGGACGGGTTCGGGTGGAAAATATACCCCCCTCCCCGACCCAATTAAACCGGCGTCGTTCTACGCCTCGGTTCGGTTTTGCCTGATCGGGTTCGGTTTTCGATCCATTCTTGTGTGTCGGGTTCGGGTCGGTCGGGTTCGGCGGGTTATGCACAAGCCTAGTTATAAGTAGGTGCACCCAGGTGAATGAATGTTTGCGGGAAGTGAATGTTAACAAGACAAAATTACATGCACTTATATGTGAAAATAGGTGCACTTGTAAGTGATTTTACTTACACTTCGATGTTCAATTATTTACAAAAGTGCCACTGCATTTTTTTAAGCTATTAGATCTGGACACGTGTCGCGTGCTGATTCGTTCGCAAATTCATTCTTGGACACTTATTCGCACCTGAGTGCATCCTTATATATATATATATATATATATATATATATATATATATATATATATATATATATATATATATATATATATATATATATATATATATATATATATATATGCTTTGGATCTGGTGCACCCCCTCTAATAGATGAGACCATGAGGCCCACTAATACGCATTGATTAAATTCTCATCTATGGTTGAGATTAAAAGAAATAATGTCAGTTATTATCAATGTTAAGGTTATATTAGTAATTGTAAGCCTAATTTATTTAAGGACATAATTTTAATGGAATATGAAGCATTTTTTGATGTTTTTGAGGATGGAAATTAAAAGATTCTAATATTAAAAAGATTAAAGGAATGAATTAGCGTTAACAATGGTGGATGTGTGAAGGCGTCGCGGTTGATGGCAGGAGCAACAGTTTAGGACTTTCAGCAAATGGATATTAGCAGTACCGGTAAGTGCTTATACACATCTAAGTCTGTGCATTTCCATGGTTTTCCCGAAATGGTTGAGAACTGAACCAGGTTGGGGGGTGGTCGATAGCCGACTATCAAAAATCGTAAGCGTAAAGGTACACCTGCCTGTGCGTACGCCGTACTACCTAATAGGCAAGGTAGGCTGTGTCTGTGTTTTTGTTTTTTCTTTGGTTTGTACCGGTAAGTGCATATACACTTTTACGTCTGTGCATATTCAATGGTTTTGTAAAACGTTTGAAAACTTAACGAGGGTGCAGTGGGGGGTGTTCGATACCCGATTATCTAACGACCTAAGCGTAAAGATACGTTGGCCCGTGCATACGCTGTACTACCTAATAGACAAAATAGACTGTGTCCGTGTTTTTGTATTTTTTTGGTTTGTACCAGTAACTTCATAAACACTTTTATGTCTGTGCATATGCCTGGTTTTGTCGAATGGTTATAAACTGAATGACTGTGGGGGTGTCCGATAGTCGAATGTATCTTTTTTTTTTTTGAATGCATTAAAAAAATGCATGATGGAAGTAGTATACGCTTTGGGATATGAGAGCGTTAGGTTCTGATTCTTTTAAGTATGTATATATGTAGTCCTGTGCATAATGCCTACATATTTCTGATGTGATTTTGTGCCTATTAAGTTGGTTTTTTATATATAAGTTGGACGAGTTTTTTTAAATAAGAATACGGTGGTTTGGTTAGCCGACTGTATAGAGACGACAATTGTTCGAGTGAGAAAATGAACTCGGATGGTGTAGATGGGTATGAAATGTGATTACAAAGTATATTTTTTTTTGAATGCTGATTACAAAGTATATAATTGTATCAATAAACGAAATAAGGAACAGGTCTGTGCATAATGCATTCATATCTATGATGGTGGTTTGGATTTGATTACGCAGGTTTTTTAATTATCCCACTTTTGAGTGGCAGGTGCACCAGCTTTGGGCCTACCCACTCCAGACACAACCTCCGAGGGAGTTCCTCATCGCTAACTTTTTCCTGCTGAGCGGCTGTAACAACCGCGTCAACCGCATCTAAATTCCCCAGATTGGCCCAAATCTCGTCATCGCTGAGTGCACCAGCCGCCGTCGCATCATCGGTACCTGCTGCACCGGAGGGCCCCACATCGTCAATCACCTACATGAATTTCCGAGCCCCTAAAATAAGCCTATCAAAAGCTTCAGCAGGCCGAGGGAGACCGATATGCTGATCCATGAACTCAATCATGTCCACCAGAGCTAGAGCTAGTGCATCCGTCTTTTCAGCGTATATCTCTGCCTCAGTCTACAAATTTGTTAAGCAAGACAACGAAAAGAACTCAGCAAAACAAAAACTAGTAGATCCCGAACATTATTTAGACCAATAGAACAATTAAATTGCAAAATGTTTAAATTTTGATAACCACAATAATAAATCCACTTCTAATAAACCAGTGCAAATGATATGGCCTGCCATGTAACATAAGATGTAAATGCACAAACAAAAACTATATATGCACATACCATAAACAAGTAACCCAAAGCGCATGTTACAGATAAAAAAATGCTAAAAAAAAATAAAAATTCAGCAACGAAAAACCCTAACTGCATGTTTCAGCTAATAAACACAATCTTATAAACATACTAAATAGGCACATTTTGTAATGCAGTCGCAAAGCCACTTCTACGCACATACACATTAATATGCACAAACATAAGAGTGTCTATGCACTTGCAAAAAAATGCATAAAAACATACTAAATAGGCAATCGCACAGACCATCACATCTAAAAGCACAAACAATGTAATACGCTACTGCCTATTTTACCTAATAAACCCATGCAATTCATATTATGTAAATGCACCAGATATATAATATGCTACTGCACATACCTTCAAGTTGCACAAACTATATAGTAAATGCAAACCAAATTAACCATTTAACTACCAAATGCACTCGCATGGGAGCTGATACACACATGCATTATTAAACAATGAAACTGCACAACAATGGAATGTACTAAAAACTGAAGAGTGCAATCCTTTTATAATGCAGTCGCAAAGCCACTTCTACGCACATACTCATTAATATGCACAAACATAAGAGTGTCTATGCACTTGCTAAAAAATGCAATAAAAAATATAAATCAGCAACGGAAAACCCACATAACTACATACTAAATAGGCAACGCGCACAAACACTAACATCTAAACGCATAAACTATGTAATAATCTACTGCATATTTCATCTAATAAACCCATGCAATTGATATGGATTGCCGGGTACCATAATATGAAAATGCACATGCTATTTAATATGCTACTGCACATATCTCGTATTGCACAAACTATAGAGTAAAATGCATACAAAATGCACAACACATGATTTAGACCAATAGAACACTTAATGCACGCACTATATATATATATATATATATATATATATATATATATATATATATATATATATATATATATATATATATGCACATACCATAAACCTACAATCACAAAAATAAAACCCAAGGTGCATGTTACAACTAAAAAAATCAACAACGAAAAACCCTAATGTTTCACCTAATAAACACAATCTTAAAAACATACTAAATAGGCACATTTTGTAATGCAATCGCATAGCCATTTCTACGCACATACACATTAATATGACCAAACATAATATTGTCTATGCACTTGCTACAAAATGCATAAATACATACTACATAGGCAACGCATTGACCAAGACATCTAAAAGCACAAACAATGTAATAAGCTACTGCATATTTCACCTAATAAACCCATGCAATTGATATTATGCAAAACAAAATGCACATACCACAACATCTAAATGCACAAAAATGTGCATGGAAAAGATGTTAACATGGAAACAATGAAAAGGATTAAGGCTAACACGAAATGCACTCGCATAGTCACTACTTCGCACATACCCATTGTGACACATCCCCTTAATATTCTTTCTTTGAAAAAAAAGGGGTATGACACACTGCATTAAACTACAAACAAAGCACCGAAGAATTAATATGCACAAAAATTAAAATTACAAAACCACAATACTAAATCTACACAATTATGTTTGAACATATATAACGCAACTACAAGATCCTCTATATGCACATACTAATCAACACATGCCACTGACTACACTGGAACGCACAAACTATATACCTACAATGCATTTTCCTACATCCCAATCACAAACCATTATACCTATCCAACTTAAAACAATTAAAAATGTGAGAATGCAATACGCATATACTATATCCTATAAACACAATGCATCACCCTAATATCATAGCATATACTATATCCTATAAACACACTGCATCACCCTAATAGCATAGCAGAGTCCCATAAACCAATCAAAACAATGAATGATTAACACGAAACGCACTAGCATAGAGACACATACATAGCGCATATACCAGAACCTCTATATGCACAAGCATTGAAAAATTCCAGGCATTAGTACACATACAAACCGCAAAAACTAAACCACCCCCTACCTCAATTACAAAAAAAAAAAATAAAAAAAAAGGACCAAGCAAATTACGTGTGAAAATACAGTGGAAAAAAAAAAAAAACTATGGCAGCGTGATAAAAAGAAAAAAAAAAAAAAAAAAGGCCGCCGGATAACACGTTTCCGCCGGAAAATCACCACAACCACACACATGCAACACACCCCCAACATCCCCATTAGAATTACTTGACTACATAATCCCAAAAACCCCCATTGTTAGAATAACATATGATTAACCAAAAAATACCTAAATCATAACCCAAACCCTAAAACGTAACTACCTAGTCCCAGCCTCCCAGACCCCGCCTCCTAGACACCGCCCATGCAGCGACCGCCCCAGACACCAAAACCACACAGAACCCACACACAAAACCCCCGAAACGGAAAATACAGTAGCAAAAAAACCCCCCACACACCCTAGCGAGAAAAAACGAATCGACAAAAATAAGGGGGATTGCGATTACCTTCAATGGAACCACCGTTAGACCTCCGTTGCCTCTTCGATCGGCGGACAGTAGACCCAACCATGTTGAACGCGAGAGTTGTGATGGAGAGGGAGAAAGTGATGGAGGTCGAAAATTGATGGAAGTGCCAGACAAAAGGATGGAGCGGGAGTTGGACTATGGCTGGAAGAGACAGACAAGGAAGACGAAGGGTTGAAATACTCACGCAGATTCTCAGGCGAAATTAAATACATGCTATAATAAAAGCTAGTAGCCTTTAAACATGACTCTTTGGCCTTTAGACTCGCTTCGGCGACTTCGCCCCCCATTGCGAAATTACAAAGCCCTAATGTCCTCACAAAGCTGATGCACGTGGCAAAAAAGCCCAAATCATCTGGACCATTCATCTAAAATATTAAGGGTCAGAAAAGGTGCTCACGAGCTATTCTGCCAAGAGGGTTTGCACCGGATCCAAAATCTATATATATATATATATATATATATATATATATATATATATATATATATATATATATATATATATGTTTGGCCCTAAATAATATATAAAAGTAAAAATAAATCAATTGACACTAAATAATATAACATAATAAAAAATAAAAGTTTTAATATAACAAATGTTGGGCCAATATATAATTACATTTTTTAAAAATTTATGGAATAAATCAATTGACACTAAATATTATAACATAATAAAAAATAAAAGTTTTAATATAACAAATGTTGGGCCAATATATAATTACATTTTTTAAAAATTTATGGGCCAAACATATATATATATATATATATATATATATATATATATATATATATATGTGTGTGTGTGTGTGTGTGTGTGTGTGTGTGTGTGTGTGTGTGTGTGTGTGTGTGTGTGTGTGTGTGTGTGTGTGTGTGTGTGTGAAGGAGATTGTTGAGTTTATACACCACAAAGATGAAGATAAAAAAAATGCGTACAAATTTATAAATTCATGTAATCATGAATTAATTTCTATGAGTATTTTATATCAATTTTGATTTTATATATATATATATATATATATATATATATATATGGTTGAGTTCACATGAGGACACTAATATATAGAGGACTATGAGGACAAATCATATCCATCCAAATCAAGAGATTTAATGGATGAGATCTTGTCCATATTTTCCTTGTATTCACGACTAAAAATATTAAGAGAGGGCAAATGAGACATTTGAGAGCATTTATAATTATGGAAGGATTATAATTAACAAACATAGCATTTAAAAAGGAGTAAAATTTGTGGTAGAGAATATAACCCAAACAAGGAACGTCACTGTAGAAGTCGTGCGTACACTAGAGGCGATGGGGCTGAGAATCTTCTGCGAACATCAATGGAGGAAACTGCACCCAGGTACTGAACCCGCAATGAACGACGATAACGAGACAACTTTAGAACCCACAATTGACGAGGAAATCGTGAAAGACTTTTCCAACGCCATGGTCAACGATAAGCTTCTAAACTCTGCGAATGCAAAATTTTACGTGAGAGAAATTCTACGATGCGTGAGTGCGGGGATGTAGGGCAATGGGTTAGGGGATTGTGAGCAACGCCTGTTATACTTGTGTGCCATGATTTTGTATTTCGTGTGCACGGGGATAGTAAGTAGTGTGCCATGCACACAGTGTTGGTCGTAACTGATAAACGATATATATAAATGGTGTCAAGCAGTAGAACAACCAGGAAACAAAAAGAACATAGGTTCGACTGTGAGGGTGGAATCACTAATTCATATGTTCTGGACTGATAATTTTTTATTGATACATATATCCTAACATCTCGTGTGCCATGTTTAGAAAAATCGTGTGGATATTAATATAATGTCGAGTGCACGAGTGCGTAAACAGCAAGCAACGCCACTCTGCACACCTAGGGTGCCGCAATTGGTTAAAGTATTATGTTTGGGGAAGGTGTCAGTAGTAATACCAATTTACAAAAAAATTAGAGAGTTGCATTGTTTATAGGAAGAAATAACAGGTTCATTAAGAAGCTATTATAGAAATCCCAAAATGCTGAGGTACACTTATTAATTTTTATAACATATTACAATGCATCAGACAGATGAATAACAATGCAGGTTGCGTGGAGGAAATATATCGTGGACAAACCGAAGAATTGAGTAAATTGACGAGACAATTGAGTAATAACACACAAGTGCAAACATTTTAGTGCATAGTGGCATAGATCCAATGTTCATTTGGCATATGAAAGAAAAAAGATGACAACATATATAACAAGCCATGAAAACATGCAAGATTAGTTAGGTGGCACACAACAAACACACGAAAGCACATAAAAAACAAATACTGGGCACACAGAAAATAGAGATTTGAAACTACGTACTCGTGCATAAGAAGAAAAACAGTATGCGATTTTAAAAACCAATTACATTTTGCGATGAATGAATAATTGCATATCTTTGCATTCAAGTATAAGCACGAAGGTTATAAGGAAAATGGCAACCATGAGTAATGCACGTGAAGGTGGGCGCAATGCACAAAACTTACAATAGCGTGCACAGAATGAAGACTATCGACGCACACAACAAAGCACACACGGATGACTGTTTAATTTGTCCTGAAAACACGTAATTGGTTTTTTTTTTTTTTTAAATTGTACGGGCACACATTTTTAAGCACAGTGGCACATATATAATGGTCGTTGGGCACAGGAAAGGAAAACGTTGAACACATATATTATACCAAACCATGAGAACATGAAATACTAGTACACTGGCACACCAAAGGGACAGACGCGGACACATACAACATTAACTGGGCACACAATGTCCATATAACGAACTGATTCTAGCAGTGAAATTAAAAGACAACTGTACAGTAAATAAACAAAATGTATATACGTCGCATGGAAGACGGCTTTGTACACCATTAAAGGATGAAAACAAATAGCTTGATATTCAACAAACCCAAGATCGAAACAATGTTAACAAAGGAAAGTCGTAAGTGAACATGAAAGATAAAGCAATCTTGCCCATGGCAACATACTAAGTCCAATGCACCAAAAAAAAAAAAAAAAAAAACGACAAAACAAGCGATAAGTCCAATGTAACAATCTTTGGTGGTACTCGAACCGCTCAAACGGTAGCGCTACGCACGTGCCACATTGCTCGTATGGTGTGCATTGATATCTATGGTGCAAATTTCCTTGATGTAATGGAACCGTAAGCGCTCGAGTTCAGCTCTGTCGCGCGGAGGGTCAACAAAATCGTCATCATCATTACGCACTCCGGATGAACAAGCCTCCGAAAGTGTATCCCTTGCCTCCTTAGCTGCCAACCAACAACATGAACAAACACAATCACTAAAACAAACTAAATGTAAGCCAAGTGACACAACACACTGAACTCGTGAACACAGGCAAATATAAAAGTGCACACAACACCCTGTACCAATCACCCAAACAAACATAAACGGTCAAACAATCTACAAACACATTTTTACAGACCTGGAGTATGCCAAGGGCACACAACAATATGTCATATATGTTTTAAGGGAGTATCCTGTCATTGACTATGAAAACTGTACGGTAAGTGAAACACAACAATCCATTTCTCAATAATATTTGTTCCTATACAACAATTTAGTCCATCTCTCTTTGTAAAGTTAATTAATTACTCTGGTCAGTGCGAGTCAGGTGCCACTAACGTGTTTAATTGTATATGCAGCATTGATGCTTACCGGCTAAAAGCTGGTTGCACCCACTTGATTCAGGCCATTGTGAACAAATATATGAAAGAGTACAAAAGCTTTCTACCAAAAAAAAAAAAAAAAACAGGATACAAAACTTCAATTATTACAACAATAATAATAACTAAAGGACACACACTACCAAGGTCAATAGCATACTAATATACAAAATAGTGCACACATATACAAAAACAATTCTAAAAACGGTCTAACAACATAA